CTTTTATCAATAATTTTTCTCTCTATGCTTTATTTTGGATAATTTCTATTGCTTTGTGTTTAAGTTAACCAATATTTTATTTTTATGGTGTCTAATCTAGTGTATCTTTAATTTCAGAATTATATTTTATCTCTAGAATTCTATTTGGGTCTTTTTTATGTTGTTAATTTTTCTCCTCATTTTATTCGTGTTGTATTTTATATCTTTGAGCATATTTATAATAGTTGTTTTAAGGTCCTTGTGTGCTAGTTATATCATCTATGTTATTTCTCTTTATTTTTATTTTTTTTTAAAAAAATGTATAGTTATAGATTATATTTTTGCTTCTTTGCATGCCTGGTAATTTTTTGTTAGATGATAGACATTCCTGATTTTATGTTATTGAGTGCTGGATCTTGCTGTAGGTCTTTAAAGAGCATTGGGTTGTGTTCTGGAAAACAGTTCCATTTTTCGTGGATTAGTCTGGTTCTTTGGAGGCTTTCTTTTAAGCGTTATTAGGGCAGTCTGGACTAGCTTCTACTCTAGGGTTAATTTAGTTCCCCAACTAAGATATGACATTTTATCCAATGTTCTATATATTATGAGGTCTCTCCACTCTGGCTGGTGGGAACACAAAGTATAAATGCTCCTCAACTCATGGTGGAGTTATGTCCTGATAAACCCATTGTAATTTGAAAATACTATTAAGTCAAAATCTTGATGTTTCATCTCAAGAGTAATTGCCTTTCTTTTCTTTTTCTCACCAGAAGCAAGAGACACAAATGGGCATTTTATACACATGATGGGATTGAAAAACACAAAACACAATATCAAAAAAAAACACTGACAACACAGTGCACTGTATTGTTTTTTACCCTTGTGATCACGTGGCTGACTGGGCCCTATGGCTCCCTGCCGCTGCCCAGAATCACCTCATGTCGCTGGCCTGAGAAAAGATCAAAATTCAAAATTCAAAGTACGGTTTTTACTGAATGCCTATCACTTTCGTACCACTGTAATGTCAAAAAATTGTAAGTCAAACCATTGTAAGTCAGGGACCATCTGTATCCTCAGCCCTGTGTAAGCTCCAGGAATTGTCCAGCTACTGCCTACCAGTGGTTATTTCTTCCACTTCAAGTAGTTTCCTCTCACTCATGCCTAGATTGGTATTTAGAAAAAGACTGAGAGGATCCCTTGCAGATTTCTAAAACACTCTCTCTGTCCGTATTTACCTCTTCATTACTCTACCTCAAAAATTCTACCTTCCTTGATAGCCTCAAACTTCAGTCTATTCTCTTTACTTCAGCAAGACTTCTAGGCTCCGTTTGGGTTTCCCTTCTTGTACTGTGGCCTGGAAACTGCATCCAGGCAGTATCTTGGGGTCAATTATAGTCATTGGAAAAATATTTATTTATATTCTATTTTATATATATCAGTCAATTGTAGGGTTTACCTCATTTGTTTTCCACAGTCCTATTTGTTGTCCAATGTCTGAAAAAAGTAGTTTCATATATTTTGTCTGATTTTCAAACTGTTTACAGCGGGAAGGCAATTCCTATAGCCGTTCATTCTTCATGAACAGAAGCAAACGTTTTACCAGCTGTAGAACAACTTTTTAAAAGACAGTAGTTGTAGGACTAGTATTTCAAAATGGCCAGAAATAATGTATAGGAGAATAAGGAAGATTTTGTGAAAAGATATGGTGCTGTTGAGAGTTGTGAACCTGTAAAAGACCATCTTGCACTTCGGAACAGTATGGCTGATGCAGTGTCTGCTTTCTTGATCCTATTCACTGGACAGGATTCTGTAATCTTTGTCAAATAAATTGTAAGCACTACCATGCATGGTCTTGGGTCTGCTACTGTCTGTGACAGTTTACCTCTAGAGACTTCGTGTGTGTGTGAGGGGTGCTCTTGGAGGAGCAGGCCTTTGTCTTTGTGCCTTGGATTTTTTATCTGTGTTGTGGTCAGATACCTCATCATTGCCCTCTCGGACATGCTACTCCCCACCCACTTTCCCACTTAACATTTTTTGAAATCATTCATCTCTCTCCTCTCAGTGACTAAGCCATTCTCTGTTTCACCAGCTCCTCATGTGTGAATCGCTGTGCATGTGTGCTAATGCTGGAGTTGAATGCCTGCCCCGTGGGGGAGCCAGGTATCATGGTACATAAAGTTCTTACACTGGATTACCATGGACTGAAGGTGGGCCTCGCATGCAAAGTTCCATGCCAGTGAGTTCAGTCTGTCCTAGCGGACTTTGGGAATATATTCAGAAATTTATCCCCCAAGGGATTTATGTTCAGATGGACCAACCCCATCATGCTCACAGAATCTCCCAAAGATGATTTAGGCTTATGATTGTCAGCCTGTCGTTGAACCAAAATTTATGTGCTCTATGTTTCAAAAGGCAGAAACTCAAAACGTCAGAGTTTGGAGTAAGGAAAGGTTTATTGATCCAGGAGGTGCCAACCAAGAAGATAGGAGACCTAATGATACCTCAAATCCATCTTGCTTGCTGGACCCAGATAAGAGTTTATAAGGGATTAGGGGTTACAGGTATGTGGAGGTGCTGGTGGGACAAGTTTTAATTGGAGGACCTTGGAACTTGGCCATTTATGGCAAAGGGACGTCAACACCAGGTCTTCCTAAACAACAGACCCTTGGCTTCTGAAAGAGTTCGGGTGTTCAAGTTCCAGTTATGTGGTTCCGTGGCGGGGTGGAAAGCGAGGCTTCAGTTCTGGTGCAGCCAGAGGTCAGAGTTCTCTCCTCTGAGCATGCTCTGGCTGCATGACTTACTGTCTTGGTCTGTTGTTTCTGAGAAGCAACTCAGTATCTTTAAAACAGGATAGGACCACTTTAAGCTGGTTCTGCAGTTACAAGCCCTTCTAGGATCCACAGTGTTGACCAGGTGTCTCAACCTTAGCATTATTGACATTTAGGGGCCGGATAATTCTATATTGTTTGGACCATCCTGTGAATTTTAGAATATTTAGCAGCATCCTTGGCCTCTACCTACTAGATGTCAGTAGCACCCTCTTCTCAGTTTTGACAACCAAGTGTCTCCAAAAATTGCCAAATGTCCTCTGGAGGTACAAAATCACGCCAGTTGGGAACTACTGGTATAGATGCACTAGTGTGTGCCACGTTCCAGAGAACCCATAGAAGCAAAGCACTAGAAACTAAATGTGAATAAACCCACAAAGCCACTTGGTGTCTTCTTGGGAGAGGTCAGTCCAGAGTATCTGCCCCATGTAGGGTATATACTAAGAGGACATTGACCTTGGAATATACAGTCCTAGATTCAGCTCTTGCCTCTGCAGATTTGGAGCAATGTTCTCCACTTTTCTGTTCTTAATTTTCCTTATTTGAAAATGAGGAGTTGGTGGTATTTACCTCACTGTTGTAGTGGGAACAAAATGAGGATATAAACACACACACACACACACACACACACACACACACACACACACACTGATGTGTACTTCGATATGATTTAAAGATACACAAACATGGACTTGATAATAGTTCAAATGTATGTGTACTTATTTGCCAGTATGATTAAAAGGAAAATACAGGAAAAATATACCTTCCAATCCATCATGTAGTATAGGCCTCCCTGTGGCTTACAGTATTACTCTATGCTAGAGGGCACAATAGGGGGTGTCTAACTTTAAATGAAAGGAAAAGAAAAGGGGGGAGTCTTTTCAACAATTTCAACTAAATTAGGATGCAAATAGTTACGTTTTTATATTTTCTTCTTAATTTTGCATTCAGTAATCTGACTAGACCGCGCAAGAATGTAAACGTCTTGACAGAAGATAGTGGCTCTTAGTTCTCTCGGGATTTCATTGTAATGAACCTGGTAAATAATTCAGGACCATGTGAGAGGCCAATGAATGGGCAGCACCTGGTGCTATATTGTTCATGCCTAAGCACACAGAATTCAAAGATGGCATTCTACACCTGTCACTGTTGTTCTGGCTTCAGCTCAAGTCCTATGATCCGTGACTATTGAAATAATAATTGATATTTTTTTTCCTCTTCACTTTTTTCCTCCACAATAAAAGAAAGCTGTGTTAAGCTATTTCAAAAACACAAAGCAGAAGTGCCATCCTCTTCTAAATTCCCACTGGTAAAATTTCAAAACTATTTTCTATATTACGGGATAGATTGCTTTAAAGAATTAGGCACATGTCTACCTTTTGTGCTGGAGCTCATCGGAGCCCTCCTGCATTTCTACTTTTGTTCTGCAAAGTAGAGCTTCTTTTTAGATCACAGTATTTATACTGCAAGAGTCTTCTGAGAGAAATAACGCCATCCTCTGGCTACTCCTCACTCTTTTGGCGTTCCTAGAGTCCTGTTTCTCTCTCTATTACCTGAGTAGCCTATCCCACTTCCAGTAGTCTTACAGTTTAAAAACAAGCAAATAAAAAACTCTTGCCTAAGGGCTTGGCATATCCTTCTGTGACCCCAGCTGACTAGACATAGAAAGTTCCTCCACTTCCTGAGAGAACAAGAGCTGGAGTGACCAGCAGACATTGCGTGCAGTCAGCATGGGGCACCTGAGCCCACCACCACCCAGGATCAGACAGAGCTTAAGCCATGAGTTGCATGGGAAGGTCTTGCAAAGGCAGGGGATTTCCCAATAGAGCAAAAAGAAAGATATGTCTCATATGTCTAAAGTTTTTACAGTGCTGGGCCATAAAAAGGATATGAAGAGAGATTGTAGAGCTTTATAGCTATAAATTGTCAGATGTGCTTTGTCTTTGTTTTTAAAGTATGCTTATTAAAGAGGTTTAAAATATATTTATTTAAATATATATTCTATTTTAAACCTTTGTTACATATAATAAAGTATATAACTATGTATAATAAAAATATAACTGTAATTAAAATCTATAAAATATTTTAAACCTCTGATAAATCATTTACACATATCTATATATGCATGTTTGTATTATGTTTTGTGTGTGTGGTCACACATACACACACACACACACAATTTGTTAACAGGTTTAATTGCTTTCCTTTCCTTCGGGACCTGTGTGAGAGTACTTGGAGCAGTGACTGCCATCTGGTGGCAAGCCAGAATCATCACTAATGGTTACTAAGATGTCCGCTCCTGCCTCATGGTATGCACTGGCAACAGAGGACCAGGAGAGCCTAAAGGGTGACTGATGAAGGAGCTTAGTGAAATAACACTTCGCTTCCACCTGAATGGGTTGTTCATCCCAGATTCTGAGCCAGAAGCCAGCTCCAAAATGGCACCTCTGAAGAAAAGATTCGAGTTGCTCTTGTGTTTTAGTCGAAGATCTGCTGGTTACCTCCCAGCGGTAACCAAGACTGAATAAGTGCACACCAAGAGGGCACGTGATGACATGGAGCCTGAAATAAACTGCTCCGAATTATGTGACAGTTTTCCTGGCCAGGAGCTGGATCGGAGACCTATTCATGATCTCTGCAAGACAACAATTGTAAGTAAGCAGCCATGGGGTGTCAGGGCTGCTCAGATATACATGTTGTTGGTAGAGATGAGGGGATAAAGGCAGGAGGAAGAAATGCTCATGCAGGACACATATTGCTGGGCTTTGGTAATGATGGGGCAGTTTATGTTTGGTCTATAGAAGGGCCTTCATTCCTAATAGCTTCTCTTTGTTCTGTTCTCAGACCTCTTCCCACCAGAGCAGTAAGACTATTTCTTCATTATCTCCTGTCCTCTTGGGTATTGTTTGGACTTTTCTCAGCTGTGGACTTCTTCTGATAGTCTTCTTTCTTGGCTTCACAATTCGCTGCAGAAAGAACAGGTAAGCAGCCCCATACCTGGTTTCTCATCTTGCACAATCTGAATCATGAAACCCAGAGTGTTAGTATCATTTTGGCACCATGAGCTGCTAGGCAGTATTAGCAGAGCTTGTCTCCTGCTGTGGCATTAAGCCTTATTAGAAGTTCCCCGCAAAATGGTCCTGGCCTTGCAGTACCGTTCCCTTTTGAGAAGAAGAAAGATCTAGCCTAGTGTTGTGCTAACTACTACAAGAATCCCCAAAAGAGAGTGAAGAGTCTGTCCTCATAAAGGAAGGTATAGTCCTTCTAAGAAGATGAAATATTTGTATTAAA